ACTTTGTACTAGGATAACATGACATGATAGGAGGTCGCTCGTCGAGACAGTTCCAAGAAATGACGTCATTTCCAAGAATTCTCGGACAATACTTTTGCTGCTTCGGGGAGAATTTTTCGGCCGATTTCGCCACTTTGTACTAGGATAACATGACATGATAGGAGGTCGCTCGTCGAGACAGTTCCAAGAAATGACGTCATTTCCGAGAATTCTCGGACAATACTTTTGCTGCTTCGGGGAGAATTTTTCGGCCGATTTCGCCACTTTGTACTAGGATAACATGACATGATAGGAGGTCGCTCGTCGAGACAGTTCCAAGAAATGACGTCATTTCCGAGAATTGTCGGACAATACTTTTGCTGCTTCGGGGAGAATTTTTCGACCGATTTCGCCACTTTGTACTAGGATAACATGACATGATAAGAGGTCGCTCGTCGAGGCAGTTCCGAGAAATGTCATTTCCAAGAATTTTCTGGATAATACTTTTACAGTTTCTACAAGAAATTTTCTGCCGATTCTGCGATTTTACATTAGGATAACATAACACGAAAGGAGGTCGCCCGATGGCAGAATTCTAGTGAATGACATTATTTTTCAAGAACTCTAGTTAAAGAAATTTCATTACTGGAAATTTAATTGCTTTACATGTTTGAAGCTTAAAAAATACATTTTTTACTTACCTTAATCATACTACTTACCTTGTAATACTTACCCGAATTCCTCTTCATTTACATATTACTCTTTATCAAATATTGCCAACTCTTTATTTTCAAAGTTCGAAGAGAAGATTGAAAATTTACAGGCGACAGAAAATATTTTAAACTTTGTGCGTAGCTCTTAGCTTGGTATCGTTTTCCAAAGAAAAATCTTTGGAAATCGATATCAATTACCAGGTCTCACCACGTGGAGGTGGCTACGCATCGAGACCCGACATGCACCCTAGTGGCGCATCCTACTGGCGCTATATGTATCAAAGATACCCTAATCTAACTTGGAGCGAAAGAAGTTAAAATGACTCTACTGACACTTTATTATAATTCGTGTCTTACAAAAGGGGTTTCGGTTCGGTATACTGAAACTCTACTGTCGCAACGCTAAGATATTTTCAAGTTCCCATAAAATAGGGAATGAAATATCAAACACGCGAGCTAATAGAAAATCGCGACGCGCCCGAACGAGTTCGCGATTATTCGAAAGACCGACTAGCCTAGGCGATGTACTCCCGTGTACAGAGATAACTTCATACCTCGGCACCCTCCCGATCGGGCCTAGCTCAATTCCAGTCACTGTCGCACTCGCCAAGACTTACACGTGGACCAAGGATAGTCCCTGAACCAATGAAACTTCTAGTGTCAACGCGAGGGCCCTGCTGGGCGGTTGCCGGCCAAGACAGACACTTCGCATCCCAGCCACACGGGGTAGAACTTAATCATCCCTGTGGTCTAACCGTAGATGGTACTAGTCCGTCAGCCAGCATGTGCCCGAGCCCAAGTCGCGTACGACTTAGGCAGCGGACCGCCCCGTCGAGGTCAGAAGACTCACTGATCCGAGGGGGTCTCCCTGGAACCCGATGCATGACGAGATTGACAGTGACGGGAAATGAGTGTCGGAGACGAGTCGTGAGGATGACTTCAGAAGCATGTACTTATCGAGTACACGAGAGCACGTCGCGTAGGCTAGTCGGTATTTACGAACGATCGCGATTATCGCGAGAACAATTATGTTCTATTTGCTAAACGAAGGGGATAAGAGGAAAAAGATAGAGAATTTCGCTCCAAGTTAGGTAGCTTACCTTTCTACAGATAGCGCGCACATGAGACTTAGCCTAGGCATCTATCTTAGAACTACTTAGATCTACTTAGGTCTAAACGCACGCATACCGCGTCGTCCATCCATGTGTCTTAAATGAAATCTTGTTGAAACTTGTGAATCTTCAGAATCCTAAAAGCTAAAACAGAATATATTACTGTTAATATAAACCTGAAAGGAAACGGATTAATACGAGGAAAGAAAAGAAACGAATAGAAACCATGAGGTTAACCAAGTGGAAGGAGCAAGCCATCAATGAGACAGAAACAAACCAACGATAGACATTCGAATATTATACGAAATATTCGAATGTTCGAATGAATACGAATAGAAACGAGAAAATAAAATGATGAAAAAAGAAGAATAATTAAAATCTGAAAAGAAAATAAATAATTAAAAGCTAAAAGAAAAATATATTAGACCTGAGAAAGAAAATTATTAAGAACCCAAAGATGAGAGACGAACAAGCCAAAGATGGAATAGAAACAACCCAACGATGAGACATAAATAAACCAACGACGAAACATTCGAATATTACACGAAATATTCGAAATGTCAAGTAAAAATAAAGAGAAATGAATAAATAACACCTGGAAAGAGAAAAAATAATTAAAAGCTGAAAAAAGAAAAAATTTATTAAAAGCTGTAATAAAAAAATAATTAATGTCTGAAAATAAAAGAAAAATTATTTAATGGAGTGAGGTGAGAATGGGGTGGCTAGCCCCAACCTCACTTCGGACCCCCACCCCTCGCGCACAACGAAAATTTAGATGTTACTCTTCCGAAGTCGAACCGACAAATGAGTTCTACTCCTTTGCGTCGCCGCTTATATAGCCTCCGATCGCCCGAGCTCCCCACTCCAATCGGAAATTTCCGAACTTTACCGATTCTGTTAATAATTATTTTTATGCCTTAATAGCCAATAATTTATAAATTTTTTCACTTTTATTATAAATATACGTTGCAAGCAATTTGTTAATAACAATTTTAATTTGTTATTAACAATTGGTGTAATTATTTATAAACTTTTTGCAAATTGAAGATACATATTGACATAAATTCGCTATAAATTCGAGTAATAACCGATTATTTATTAATTTTGTCGCATTTATTATAAATTTTCATTGCAAACAATTTGTTATTAACAATATTAATTTGTTACTAACGATGAATATAATAATTTATAAACTTTATTTATGTTTTTAGAATATAAACTTCCGTGATGCATTTATATTAAGTATTTTTATGTTTTAAGCATTTTGTTATTAACAGTTGTAATTTGTCGTTAATAACAACTTTGATAATTTATACATTTTTTTATAAACTATAATTACATTCGCACTTCCGTAGAATAAATCTCCATGATACGTATATGTATGATAAATGATTTTTATTTCCTCTGTATGTTTGCCTAAAACGAAGTATCACGGGGAAAGTGAAATTAGATATTAAAAGATTAATTCTCGTCTTAAAAGTTAAATAGAAGTTTATTTTTTAACAATTTTATATTAAAAAGTCATTCGTATTTATATTTTTATTTACACGACAACATATACATGTGATACATATAAGAAATGAGATCTAATGGACGATGATGTCGATTACGCGTGACTACGGCCCTGAGCTGAAAGCTACATGCGCGAGCAATGGCTGCGTGGCGGCAAAATAGCGCTTACGGGTTCCCCATATATATTTTACCATCCTGTCAACATTTAAAATCACCCTAGTATTGTTTCTCCATGGTTTCTCCTACAGCAAAGTCTACGGAATACGCCATAGAGTATAAAATTCGTATTAGATAAAGAACTTTTCCTAAAAATGCAAGAATATGCGTAGAAAATACGCTCGGAGTTTTATTTTAAAACTTTTACGACCAACTATAATTATTCGAAAACGCAAATAATTATTTGATACTGCAAATAACATGGATAAACTCGGGATACTCGCAGCTAACTTTTAAAATAAGAACGAACCTTCCAGCATTCTTACTTTTTATCCAATACTTAATTTTATTGAAAAATCGTGCAAGTAGAGTAGAAAACCTTCGAATTTTCGGGAACTGAAAATGATAGAGCAATTTCGATTACGGATTCAATAACGTAAACGCTACAAGAAACGCCTAATGCATATTACATATGAAGAGTTAAAGTTAGAATCTTTCGGAGTGTGTACAAGCGTTTTTCGAGGTTAGAAATCGATCACGCGTTATCTTCGTACCACTCTGCAAAGTCACCGATTAGAAACGAGTCATACAGCGATTAACCAGAAAAGCAGAGGAAAAAAGAACACACTGCTCGCAGTATGAAACTTCAACCTCGCCCATCGCTTGCAACATCTGTACGCGAAATGAATCAATTAATCGTCGTTACCGGACGACCGACAGATAGTCCTGGATCGGGCAGGAACAGAGAAACGGGGTGATTAACGATCTGTCGTCGTTTTGCCCGATTTCGTATCCGATACGACGAAGAGACCGCCGCGCCTGTCTATATACCGACAGTAATCCCTTCCTTCCTTTCCCTTTTTCGAACCCGCCACATCCCCTACCACCCCGTCGATCCACTCTGACCACGACAAGCACGAGCTTTGATCGATCGATATCATCTTCGAGCTGCGTTCGACTCGTTCCTCCGTCAATCGATCGGTGCGTGTGTTGCAGCATGGAAATTCAGCTCTGCACGAGGCATCCTGGCGTGGATACAGCCGCACGGTGGCCGCCCTGGCCAAGGCCCTCGGCACCCAACGGGCACCCTTGCACGCGAGGAATCTCGCTGGATTCGCGCCGCTCCACCTCGCCTGCCAAAACGGCCACAACCAAAGCTGCCGCGAGCTCCTGCTGGCGGGTTGCAATCCCGACCTTCAAAACAACGTGAGTAATAGACCCACTCTTTTCCTTCCGCCTTTTTTACCCTTTTTTACCCTCTTTTAGCCCCCCTTTCACCCTTTTTCTCACCTTCTTTCCGACTTTCCTATCTTCGTTTCTGTCCCCAACGACGAGTACTTTCTCGCCAAGTTTCTTCTTTCTTCTGACTGTAACACGTCGTGAAATACGATTAAATACGATAGTTGTGTCTACGCGCTTTTATTCAACCCCGTTCTCGATACATACGTGGAATAGACGCTGGATTCAGAGGTGTTCGGAGATGGCGCGGAGCAATGGCCGCCAGGATGGCACAGCCGCAATTAAATCCCTCGGGATTTGTAGAATGCTCGGAGAGCAAAGTCGTATACGGACAGAAATTTCTTTTCTCGCGGTTGCGCGCGTTCTTCGAATGCCTCTGGGATGAGAGTGAGAAGTTAAAACGCGAGCGGAATAAGGGATTTTCGTATGACGGATCTAACCTTGGTTTCTTTCAGTACGGGGATACACCGCTGCACACGTCCGCGAGGTATGGACACGCCGGAGTGACGAGGATACTCATCTCCGCGCTTTGCCGAGTCTCGGATCAAAACAAAGTAAGTAAGAGCCTAAAAGGAGAATTAGGCGGAAGATGCGCGCAGTTTTACACGTCCCCGTACCCAAGCTCTTGTCCCACGAGCAGAGTCTATCTCGTAGACGCTGAAAGAAAAAAGACTTCCTCTGCAACGATCAACCTCGTATCTGCGCGCATCGATCGCGAAAGCTCCGTGTATCCGAGAAAAGCATCCGAGGCGGAGCAACGAAAGCGCGGTAATAAAACACGAGTAGCACGATTAACGATGGTTCTAATCGCAGAACGGCGACACGGCGCTGCACATCGCGGCGGCGATGGGACGTCGGAAGCTGACGAGGATCCTGCTGGAGGCCAGCTGCGACCGTAGCCTGCGGAACAAGCAGGGGGAGACCGCGAAGGACATAGCGCGGCGCAAGAACCTGACGGAGATATTGGAGATAATCGGTAAAGCGCGAAGCAAGAGCAGGACGCGGAGCAAGAGTCGCGAGGAGGAGACTACGCCGGCGACTGTGGACAAGGTCGACGGGAAGAGCG